ATATACATATATATATATATATATATATATATATATATATATATATATATATATATATATATAAATATATATATATATATATATATATATATATATATATATATATATATATATATATATATATATATATATATAGAGAGAGAGAGAGAGAGAGAGAGAGAGAGAGAGAGAGAGAGAAGTTTGTATTCCTAAGCCTTCTTGGACCTTGGACCATCACATTTTATTTGAAAACTCAGTTCTCAGTCAGGTGATTAGTTATAAAATTTTTAAAACCTATTTTCATTCTCAGATAGCATTGCTACAGCAAGTTATAATCGGAAAACGCTTTTTAAATTTAAAGTAAATTTTTGCTGCTATTACCTTAGATTGTTTAACAATCCTAGAGAAAGTGCTTTACTATAAGTTCTTATATAATATGTTTGTTACTAAAGTTTTTATTGTTTTTGTTTTTTAACATCTTCACTTTAAGCGAAGCTGCAAGCAACCACTTTTAGAGTGGGAAGTTAATGAAAGAGAAAAAATAAAGTTCATAAAGCAAGAAAGCAAAAAACTTAAAAGAAATTCTATGAATCAGGAAACAAACAACAAAAAGGAAACATATTTCAAAGAACTGATGTTCAAGGAAAAAAACTAGGTGAATAAGAATTTTTGGAGCACTTAGGAACAGTCAAAGTAAAAGGATGAGGCATAATTCAATGTCAAGAATTTGGTGATAGATATGAATTTTCAATCATAACCATGACTGGAAGTCATGGTTATGATTGGAAATTGCAGCGGCACAATGAGAGGAAAACCATGGAGAAGAGTCAGGACTGACTTGGAATCATCAAGCTTGAATAAAAAAATTCCATTCAAGCTTGAATCCAAGAAATTACATAAGCACATTTCTCAGTAAGAAGAAAATAGATTTATAAGTGAGGGCAATTACAAAAAAAAAATCATGAAAAGACTCCCATTCAGCTTAAAGGTAGTTGTAAGAGGTGTGATTGTAAGAGGATTCTGATGATGAAGAAGAATGAGATTATAGTTTAATAGAAATCAGAAGCACCTAAAGATAAATGTGAGAAACTAAGCAATGACTGAGATCAGACACAAGACATAAGTGGAGTAGAGAAGACAAATAATTCAGATTGTCTGGAAAGCAAGTTAAAAAGTTGGTTATTTGTGTAAGAAATTGAGAAGTTTGGGCCTTAACGCCTGCAGAGTCACTGACACTAAAGCTAAGCCCTTCAAAATTATATATATATACAGGGCTTAATTTAATTTTTTATAAGGTTTCGGACAAAATGTCTGACCAAAAGTTATTTTGGTCGGACATTGTCCGATCAAATTTTTGAAATAAAATTTAAACAAATAATTTTCACCAATATTTACATATATTCATATTTGTTTTGTTAAAAGGATCACAGGAAAAAGATAGTTCTTTAAATGCCGAAAGTAAAAAAGTACTGCAGATGGGTTTTTTTAGACTTCTGGCGTATCTGAGTTTTACTGAACCCAAACATCCAATCGAAATATATGTTATGTTTTCCCAGTTTATTTTATTTTAGGCTAGTGAAGTTGTAGTTTTTTTTTTTTGTTTAATATTCAGAATTTTTATCATCGAAGGTCTTTGTATTTTAAATGAAATGATTTAAATTCAATACTGCACATTTTTTTAGATAGACTTAAAGTTTTATTGAGTTTTTTTCTCTCGAAAACCTTGTTAGTTTACATTGAATTGCATTACCGGTTTATAAAAGTTATGTAAATTTTTTTACTTAAAAAAATATAATATGCTAAGTGTCAATTTTGCGCATAAGCTCCACTTTTAGCGCCAAGGTATTTATATGGCGTTCATGTAACTATTTTTATCAATAATGAAAACGGCAAGAAAACAAGTTTGTTATAGTAATATAGTATAATAATGTCTTTAATATATTAAATATTAAGATAAACATATTATTTTTAAACTTGATATAAAAAGTTTAAACTTCGCTTTTACTTATTTAAAGGCGGTTAAATCAAACGAAATATAATATTTACGGGCTATTATTTAATTTAAAAAATCCACGCGCTGCATGTCATTAAAATTCGATCAAGTCAACAAAGAGAATTTTATGAGTTTTACAGGTTATTATTTATCTACTTTTCAAAAAGGCACTCCTTCTTTGGCAGACAAGTTTTATAAAGCTAGAACTTTTTAATCTTTCAAATCAAATTTTTCAAACTGCAAGCTTTTCTTTCCTTTTCGGTGTCCACGGCATTTGCAGTAATCAATCGAACATACTTTGACTTTTGTGATCGTTTTAAATAAGCAATAATTTTAAATTTAATAATATAACAATAAAACTGTTAAAGAACAGTCAATAAAACTGTTAAAAAACAGTCATTAACTACAATTAATAACAGCGCTTTTTTTGGAAATGAATGCCTCCATTATCAACATATTTTATAAGTTTGTCTAATAGTTTACATTAAGTTTAAATTTGTCAATTTCAAATCAACGAATAAAATTTTATTTTAAAGAATTAAAAATCTCGCTGGACAAAATGTCCGATGGCTTTGTAAATTGATTGGACAATCTAAGGTTTTAGCCGGACAAAGTCCGATGTCCGACTGTTAAATTAATATATATATGCCCTGCGCATATATATATATATATATATATATATATATATATATATTTTTTAATTTATTTATATCGACACCTATTCAGGTGCCGCTAAAATTAAATTTTGAGGACTTTTTTTTTTTATTGCAACTTTTTTTTTTTTTCGCAAAAAAACCCCTGATTTTCCGCTAAATTTTGTCTGGTCGGGGGTCATCACCCAATTTTTTTTCCTAGATTAGGCCCTGATATATATATTATATATTTTATATATATATATATTATATATTATATATTTTATATATATATATATATATTATATATTATATATTATATATTATATATATATATATATATATATATATATATATATATTGTATATATATTATATATATATTGTATATATATTGTATATATATATTATATATATATATTATATATATATATATATATATATATATTATATATATATATATATTATATATATATATATTTTATATATATATATATATATTATTTATGACATTAACCTAAACTAGCAAACATTACGAAAATCTTGAATCTTAAATAAAATTTTCAAAACAATCTAAAATGAAAATACACATGAATGTTTTTCATATCTAAATAGTTCCTGCTCAATCCATTTGTTAATGTCTTTACTAAACCATTCACAGCTATTTTAGTATGGTGTAATTACTATTCTTTCATACTAGGCTATTAAATTACAGCGCTCGTAATAATTTTTAAAGGTTGCTGATCAGCACTGATTGGCTGAAATGATAAAAATTGAATTGCAGACGATCATATAATTTTTCGGACCATCAAGTTTTTTATTAGTTTTTATTAAATTTTTTAATTTTAGTAATTTTTGCATCACACTTTTTATGTTTGTGCTTGATAGCACTGTTTATTCTGCAGAATTTCCACTTTGTATAAAATTCGGAAGCAATAAAAAAATTAAAATTTATACTGGGCCTTGTTTAAAGTGTCACATTTAAATACAAACGAGCCTTTTAAACATTTTTTTAAAGTGTTTTGTTATAAATGCACTTTAGCAAGCCCTTATAGAAAAAAAAAATTATATTTAAGCTGGGCAGTTGTTTGGCCTAATTATATAAAATTTATGATAAGATGTTCAGCATATTCTAACTTATCATAAAAATTACAAATAAGAAATTATAAAAAATAAAATAATAAATGAATGTAAAAAATATAAAATATATTTTTTAAATTCATTTAGTTAAAACTATAGTTTTAAACTAAATGACTGTTTGCAACTTTATAAACGATTGTTTAGTAAAAGCATTTAAAATTGACAAAAACACGTAAATTAGATCAAAGTTATAATTCATTTAAAGTTTTTAAAATTAAAAATTTATTTGAAATTGAAAAAAACACTCAAATCAGATCAAAGTATCATTTAATCAGAGTTACCAAAATACCAAAAATGTTTCTTTCTCTCGCGTTTTATGCAATCAAAAAGGCTATTCAATTATTGAACAAACTTTTCAAATATCGATCGAACTTTTTTGGTTTCCGTTAACGAAACGAAATGATAGTTTTTTAAAAAAAAAAGAAAGAGAGATTATTAGGAACTTTAAAGAAAACATTTGTTGGTTGAAACTTTACCGCTAGAATATTTATTTAAAAACAATACAAATACTGTTTGTAATTGTAACTTTCTTATTTCAAAAGAAAATTACAATTTTAAAAGAAAATTATTTTTTTAAAAAGGAAATCAGATCCTGATTTCCTTTTTTAAAGAAATAATTTTCTGTCACATTTTCCCACGTCCATTTTATGATTATTTTTATACTTTTAATATAATTTTACTTCTAAAACTTATTTTCTAAAAATTTAAAAAAAAAACAATTTTATTTTGCTTAAAGCATTATGATGTTTTATGAAGTCAACATTCTTTCTACCAATCATAAACTCGCATTATTCACTATGTTTCTAAATAATAATGTAAATTTGGATTCATTAAAAAAAAATTCAATACATGCAAAATAGTTCGTTAATGGGTCATAAACTTTTTATTTATATAAATTTTGTAATACCTTTTTAACAAAAAGACAAGTAAAATACATAAACAGTAAAAACTTTTACTGTTTTTGTGTTTTACTTTTATCTTTTTAAGATTTTTGTGATGTTTGGTTTATAATGTTTTTTGATTTTTTAATATATAAAGTTTGACATGCAATTCTTGTCGATCAAATTTGATAGTCCGCAATAGATTTTAGGAGATCAAAATATCATTTTTTCCAAAAGTAGATGATCATTGATTGTTGATCGGTTGTTATTTCAAGCGCTGACATTACATTAATTTTTATTAAGTTATATTACATAAAGATCTTTTTATTATTGGTTAGTTAGTATCATAACTTTATTTGTTTTTTGATTTGTATAGATTACTCAGCTTAAAGGAAACTATGCTCTTGCTGTGTTATTGACAGTTGCAACTAATGTTGTTGGTATTTTTACTTCTCCTTTATTATTGAAATGGATGCTGAAAACAGAAGGAAACTTTAACTTTGATGTCATATCTTTGCTAACCAATCTACTGCTTAGTTTGCTTCTACCTTTAGTGGTGATGTTTTTATATGTTTTATATTTTTTATAGTATAGTTTTTTTTTTTTTGTTTACCAATTATTTTGTTTGTTGTTTTGTACTTTTTTTCTTTTTATCTTCTCTTTTTTGTGTGTTGTGTGTGTTTTGCTTGATAACAATTTTGTTTGCAAATGGTTTTTGCAATGTCATTTTTATTCTGGAACACATTGTTTACAGAAAATAAGAATAATCGTTAAAGGAAACTCTCCTTGCGCGTGGCGATGAGTATACTTGTTTGATTTTGTCTTTGATTTTTAATAAAAAAGACAATTATCACAGTCTTTAGGGTCAAGATATAATAAATTAATATTTTCAAGTTATATTGAATGGTTTCCATAAAAAGAAAATCACTAATATATTAATTAACTAATAAACTCATTTATCTACTAATAAACTACTAATAAACTCATTTATCAAAGATACAGCAAAAAAATGTTATAAAAATATTTTATTTTTATAAAATTAAGTGAGCTTTTTTGAAAAAAATATCCTTATATTATAAGTTAAAATTTAATCTCGTATTATGTGATTTTCTGTTTTTATTTGTGATTAATAATGGGTATTTTAAAAATAGTTTTTTTATCTAGGCTTTATCTACAATACCATCCCTATGTCAGGCTTGGACAGGAATGGCGTGAAATCGAGCGCTATTGCTGACCACGCAAATGATTTTATTTTTTGACAACTTGACCACGATTGTTTAATAAACAATCTTTATGTTTTAATGAGTTAAAAAATTCAGAAATATTCTAAATGTAGAAACACTAAGCTGAACTTAAACTAGGAAAAATATTTTAAAAAAAACTAACGAAAAAAGAAACGCAAAAAAAATCATAACGAAAAAGAAATTATATAAGCACTGAAATAAAAATAAAAACTTAAACTCAAAGCAAAACTTTTTATTACTTTTTTAATTACGTATGCGATAAACTTAATGTTATTAAAGCTTATTATTACTTAAAGTTATTAAAGCTTATCTTTTTAAGCGTTATTAAAGTTAAGCAAAACTTTTTTAAATTAAGTAACAAATTTCTTCTAATGATTGGTTTAATATAAGAACAAATTTTATTAAATTTATTAAAAAGTGTTTTATATAATATTTTTAAATTGTATAAACATTTATTTTGTCAAAAAAGTTGCAAAAAAAAAATTGTTCAAAAAAATAATGTAGTCTTTTTAAAATAGTAATTTTTACTAATTTCGTGCTCTAATTAGTGAGTCTAATTAAAAAAAAGGTTTTGAACTTTTTTATTCGTAAAAATAGAACAAAAAATAATAATAAAATGTGTCTGCGATTTAAATAAAATAAACTGCCAACAAGCTTTTTAATTTAATTTTAATTTGAGCATTACAACTTAATGAGCACTTCGCGCAACGAATTTAAAAATTGTTATAAAAGATTTAATCTCATTCATTTCTAACAAAATTGAAAAAAAAAAAAATTGTTTACAAAAAATAAAACGTTTATTTAAAACATTTTAAAAAATCGTAAGTTTAGTCATAAAAATTAATCGTATGAACTATACAAAATGCTTTAAAACTTTTTCATTAAATCAACAAAATACATGCTTATATAAGTAAATAAAGTTATTTTATATTCTTGTGTAATTCACATAAAATGTGTAAAAGTTAGTAGTCACAAAAGCTTTTGAACTTATTCACAAATTAAAGTAACTTAAAAAAATTCTTTCTAAAAATAATGGTTTAAAAATGTTTAAGGAAGACATAAGAAAATAGTTTCACACGTTTACATTTATCATCAAAAATATATGCCTACATAAAAAAACTTATTTATAATGTTTTTTATTAATTTACACAAGCGTTTATGTAAACTATAACTATAACTAATTTTATGGTTTTATTTAAAGCCTTTGCGTAAAATAAAAAACTTTAGAAAAGATCAACTATTAAAAGATATTTATAGCGTAACACTTTTTTTATTGCATTCAAATCAAAATAGTTGTGGTCAAGTAGTAAAGAAATAAAAATATTAGCGTGGTCAGTTACAGAGTGCGATCGCACGCCATTCCTGTCCAAGCCTGCTATGTGGATTAAATTTTTTGGGTTGGGGCTAATTTAAAGCCGGAGGCTCTTTTCCATGTCATTAATGAGAGATTTTATTTTCAGAGTTTTAAAAATATATATTTTTTAGATTAGGGCCCTAAAAACTGCAGCGCATGGGACTATAGCCCCATCCGCTTAGTCCCCACTCTAATCCAGTACTGCCTATTAAGTTGTCCATTAAGTCCCTAGCATAATAAGTTGAATTTTTTATATAAATTTTTGTTACATTTTTATATTAAATAAATTCAATTTTAGATTGGTAAGCTTTTGCGGTTTGTTAAAGTTATTAAAGAATTCAGCTCTATTCCTAAACTTAAATTATGTTTTATGTTGCTTAATATTATTGCACTGGCCCTGATTGTCACAATACAAGTGTCTCAAACAAGTCAAAATGGTGGACTCAAAAGGCTAACAGTTTTAAGCACAGTAATTATAATTGCATGGAGTTTAACTGTGCACATTGTTTTCTTGTTAATAAATGCTACAGCATCATGGTTGTTACGACTAGAGATAAAGCAAACAAAGTGCATAGTAGTTCTCTCAAGTCAAAAAACAGCAAGTATTGCAATAGGTGTTCTTACTTTCTTTCCAAAATCTATGGGTAAGTTTTTGAATTTTTATGTTTCATTACACTTTATTTTCTACGGGTCCCTTATATGATATAAAAAAAAAAATTTTTTTAAGTATATATATTACTTTCTTATTGAATCAAGTAGAATATGTTTTAATATTAATCCTTTAATTTTTTTTTATTGGCGCTTACCAATTTTTAAAACATTTCCTCGAAATTACTCTTAAATACTTTAAATACGTCTAACAGTTAATAAATATTTTTAAATCTATGGAATAATTTTAAAACCTAACAAACCCCCGTAAAATAATTATTTAAGTTAAAAATCTAAAACTAAAAGAAAGTATTTTTGTTCATTTTTATCGACAACTTTGCTATTGCTGAATAAATTTATTAAAATGTTAGCTTAAAAAGATTTAAACTTTTTTTTTAATCTTTTTTTTTTAATTTTTTCTACTTGTAAATAATGAGCATATTTAATTTTTCTGTAATTCAAACTTTTATATCAACAGCGTGCGGTTTTTAAAATACTTTATTAAATGTTAAAATAATCGTAAATTACTTCATTAAAATTCCGCTCAAAAATATCTTTAAATATACTCAAACAAAAAATTTTTTGCTCGACGCAAATAGCCCTAGCTACACGCAAAATCGCCCTTGGACGACGTAAAATTCACATCGCCCGACGCTTTATTGCAAGGCCTGATATATATATATATATATATATATATATATATATATATATATATATATATATATATATATATATATATATATATATATATATATATATATATATATATATATGCTGAGTGTTGTATACATTGAATTGCAGCAATATCCCCTTACTTTTTCTTTATTGCATTTATTTGCTGTTTTATTAAGTCTTTTATTTATTAAATATTGTTAAATTTAATTCGAACATTATGCCTTGGTGGTCGATGATGTTAGCTTGCAACATTTTTAAAGTGGTAAAATCGTAGTAAATCTTTACCTTATCACTTTTTTTTTCCTAATCCTTTTCAATTTTTTTAAATAGCTGTAGTTAACAAAAACTTGAAATTTTATTTTAACAACTAATAGTCTTTTGCTATAGTTATTTTTTGCTATTAATATATACGGCAAAATTGATAAACTTAAAAAAACCTTTTATCACTCAGGGGTAGATTTGAACCCTTGGAAACAACACTGATGGTAGTGCACTAAACCACTGAGCTATCCAATATACACAGTAAAGTGATAGTGCACTAAACCATTGAGCTATCCAAGATACATGGCAAAGTGAAACAAGCAAGTTTATAAATTTCTTATAAGACCCATATTTTTATTGTTTGGTCAACTAGTTAAATAATATTATTATGGAAAAAAAAATATTAATAAAATTTAAATGTTGTTTGAAAAAAAATATTCCCTTATTTTAACAGCTTAAACTCCCAATTTGTAGTGATGTACCGATTGCACATTTTTGGCCGATGCCGATACCGATGCCGATGGATAGCAAAAAGCCGATACCGATGCCGATACCGATAGATTAACTAGCTATTATAATTTGAAAATATAAAACCATACAACTCTAAATTGTGTAAAATTTTTCATGGAATCAGAGCTGGTAAGCAAATACTTGGACTCAAATCAGATTCAAACCTTTATTTTAAAAGATATTAGAAAAGCTCAATCAAATAAATATACATTTTTTACTTTTTTTTAACTATGAAAAGAAAACTTTCAAAAAATAAATACAATTTTAGGGATAAAAATATAAAAATGTCATCGGTTGGAAAATCGATAATTTGATAAGAAAAGACCGATGCCGATACCGATACCGATTGTGCAAAAAGTGGCCGATTAAGCCGATGCCGATGCCGATTAATCTCTACATCTCTACCAATTTGTCTTATGTTTGCTTACTTACAATAAAAATTTTTTTAACATTTTGGCTTTAACAAAATATTTGTCTACTCCTTGTTAACTAGTGAATCATTTCTAATCCACTGATAAACAAATCAACGTTCATTCTATGATCAATCTAAACAGCATTATAATTGATGTTCTTTCTATGATCAATCTAAACGACATTCTAATCAACTTTCTTTCTACGATCAATCTAAAAAATTTCATGATAATCAAAAAACTTTTGTTAAAATTTCATAACTAAAAAAATCATCTTTATATTACTTTGTTATATAAAGTTTGCTAAAAATATTTTATAAAATAATTTTGCTTACAAGCTTGATTATGGTTTACCTGGCAATGCATTTATGTACAGTTAATAAGCATTTTTGTATATTAACAATTTCGTAACTGGATAAAAAAATTATTGATTTAAAACTATAAATAGTTGAATGTAAAAACTATAAATTGAATGTATAGTTGAATGTAAAAACTATAAGTTAAAAGTAAAGACTATAAATTGAAACTATCAATAGTTGAATGTAAAACAAACATGAATACATACATACATACACACATACATACATACATACATACATACATACATACATACATACATACATACATACATACATACATACATACATACATACATACATACATACATACATACAAAGCCATCTGTGAGGGGTTCAGTATGACTGACTAGATTGAGGGTTTTATTATGGCAAAATTAAAAATTAAAAAATTTCTTTTTCTGAAACTTTTGCCTGGCGTTAGCTTAAAATGTTTAATAAGTGCCTGAAATACAATGTTAAGTGTTAAATGTTAAGAAATAAGCTAAGAAGAAGACCATACAATGGTTGCAAAAGAAAAAATAAGCTAAGAAGACCATGAAATGGTTGCAAAAAAAAAAAAAAAATAAGCTATGAAGACCATAAAATGGTTGCAAAAGGAAAAAAAAAATTGAGTTTAGCATTTTTAATAAATGGTATTTTGAAGGTTTTTTTGATTGTAAAACTATTAAGAAAGAATTAAAGTTTTATTGTTGATTGTTTTTTGTCACAGGTTATTAAATTTTTATTTACTTATTGTTCGAACGTTTAACTTTCTTAAAAAGCCAGTAAAAGACATTATCTTTATGTAAGCTTAAATCCTTTTTAAACAAAAATGTTTAAATATTTTAGTAAGATTATTGCATGGTTCAAATTATGCTATAGTAAGCACCCGGAAAATAGTGTTTTCATTGGGCAAATACTGAATAATAATTTGTTGAACTTTGGTACCAAGGTTTAACAAATATTTGCTTTTCAACTTCATTTAACTTTGATTGTGCAAAGTTAAACAAACTTCGCTATTAGTTATGCTATTATCTCATACTTCATTTACACTAGATGCAAACTATTATCAAATTTCTTACTACTATTTCAAGACATGATTTTCTCACATTAAAATAACCTGCTGCAGGAGGTTTCAGTATATACATCAACTATCTTACATCCTTCTGCCACTACATCAACTGAGGGTTTGGCATGAGCATAGATGAGTTTTTTCCAGGAATTTCAGGAATTCTGGAAATTCACTTTTAATTTTCCAGAAATTTTTGGATGTCTTTTGTTATTAATTTGAAAAAATATATATATATATTTTTACATAAAATTTTAAATACTACTACTTTTGCATTTAAACAAATGTTTTCTATAATTAAAATTTTTACGAGATCGTTTTTCGTAACAATATTTTTACTTTTTTTTTTTTTGCTTTTTAATTCATTTAAATTAACTTTTTCCAATATTAGAAATTCCTTTTTGTAAAAAGTTAAATATTCCAAATTCCATTTTAAGAGTTAACAAAAATTTTTGTTGTCTGTTACAGGGTTATTCATTCTTATATGCGCGTCTATTCAATTTTATATGTGTATTTATTCATTTTTATATGCGTTTTAAAAAAGCAACAAGAACAAAAAAAAATCATTTAAGCATTTTGTTTTGAAAAAACAATTTACTTTTTTCAAAAACAATTTTTTCTTATTTCCTGGTAAACAAGGTTAAAGATACTTAAAACAAAGACTTTTTACGTTTCATGATGGTTTATTTAATTTAATATCAGGTCTTTGTTTAATTTTATTACATTATTAAATTTCTTTATTGATTAAATTATTATTTATCTAATTATTCATTTATATAGATTTAAATTTAATTGTTTATAATTATTATTAATATATCTATATAAAAATTTAAAAGCCTATTTGTTGTTTATATTAAATTATATTAGATTTTATTGGTGGTTGATTCGCATATAAATGCGCATATAAGAATGAATAAACATGCATATAATAATGAATAAATGCCCATATAAGAATGAATAAATGCGCATATAAGAATGAATAAACACGCATTTAAAAATCAATAGACGCGCATATAAAAATAAATAACCCTGTAAAACGATTAATTTTTAATTAAATAATTTTCCCGGATTTTCATAGAAAAAAATTTCCGGGATTTTCAAAAAGTCAAATACTCATCTATGGGCATGAGGCAGCAATCTTTTTTTTTTTTCATAATAATTTTTTTTTCTTTTTTATGAAAATGCTGTATGCTATAAAGGTAGGAAAAACTAGCATAAATTTGTAATATAAACGTGCTATAGAAGTTGCTCAATGTTCTTAAAGAACAGAGAAATAATAAATAAATTAGTAAAAACACTTATCTAAATTTCTTCTAAAGTCTGTTTTGCTTTCAGCAGGTTTATCAGGAAGCTTCCTGGTGAACTTAAAGACAAAACAGAGTGTGAAGAGTGGAAGACAAAACAGAGTGTGAAGAGTGGAAGACATAACAGAGTGTGAAGAGTGGAAGACAAAACAGAGTGTAGAAGAAGTTTAGATATGTGTTTTTACTAATTTATTAATTATTTCTCTGTTCTTTAAGAGCATATATATGTGTATATAAACATTTTACAAATGTTTCAAAACTTTTAAGAAAGGTTTGTATGTACACAGTTGTTAAAAAACAGATGCCCTTAATTTTGATATTTGTCATATTTTTAAAGATAAATTCTATCTTATTAATAAATTGTATTTACAGGTATAATAATTTGATGTTGGTTTTGTTGTAGTCGTATACGGTTGAGTGCCTGACTCT